GAATAATAAAGAAACTGAATTTTGATCATAAATAAGAATAAGAATGTCTTATATTATTGATCACGCGAACCAATGGATGCCTTATCTTTCTTTATTTGTACCGCAAGGGTAAAACGGTATCCTATTACTAAGACTCCGTTGTCCGTCTTTATGTCTATCACAGGCTGTAGCATCTCATGAACCGTAATAGATAGACAATTAAAATTTTCACAGATGATCTATTTTAGTTTCTGCTATATCAACAAATACTATATACAGAATAGAATACGGCTCCTATACAACAAAAATCTTTTTTATCCATTGACACCTTTATGACTTGTCTGTCATGCTACGCGAATGCCTAGCATAAGGCGCCACATAAAGCATGTTATAACTATAGACATTGCTTAATGTCGTTATGTTCCTAGCCAATGGTGCCATACTCGATTTCTAAATATTAAGCAACTCCTAAGTTTAATGTAAACACATTAATTCAGATAAGCGTTTAATCTAGCTTTTATCAATATTGGAATTTTCAAAGCTTGCCTATCTGTTTGCTTTATCCCTGAATATTACCGATTAACTTATTTTGAAGAAAGTCACTTTCACTTAAACTGTAACTAAGAATTTACTTAATTTGAATAAGTTTTGTTCTCCTTTTAACGTCGACACAAATTAATAAGTTTCTTCAGATTAAGGTATTATTAAAAATTTCCTACAAAAGCAAATATAAAAATAAAGTTTTAATACCGGGTTTTAAACGTCATGGCAAAATAATCATCTGAATTTATTATTTAGTTGTTTAGAAATAAACAAAACTATTTATAAAATGATTTATAAGTATTATATAACACCACAGCTAATTTAATACTATCTATACTGATATTATAAAGAGGAATGGTTTAATCTCTCTGAAACTACTGGACTGAGTATAAAATTCTTTCAAATACTAAAAGTTACGTCATACGCGTGTGACTTAGATTCCAATTTACAAGCGATAAGTCGCGTAAAACAGTACTTAATAAAATGGAAATCACGTGAGGGTAAACAAGTAGCGGAGTTTATGTGTATCTGTGGTAGCGGTAAGTCGTGGATTTCATTTGTGTTCGACAGTAACGCCATCTACCGATATTCTTTAATACTAGATTGCACATCGTAGCAAAGGAAACTAAGCTGTTTCTACTTTGTCAAACTAAGTCTTATTCATGGTAAGGTATGTGTATCGGTACTATGTCTTATAACAAGATTTTATTTATAGGAAAACTTGAAACCCAAATTTTCTTGGTGTTATTATTGTTATGTAATATATATTGTGTTCTCATCTGAAATAGGTTATAATGGTCGTGATCGTATACTACTTTGCTCTAGCTTATATGTTATTTGGTATATAACCATTATTATTAAATCTAAATAGGAATTTATTCTTCTTTAGTGATTTTTTAAATGATTAGGCTTAAATTTTCAAGTGTATTTGTGTTAATTTCGTAATAGATATTTTTGAAATTTATAATTAAACACTTTCATTTGACACTCAGCACCATTATGTCACACATGAAAATAAAATGTGATTTTGTATCCTCTTGATCAGTTTCGACGACAAGCGGACCGCGGTCCAAATGTGAACTGTGAGCCTAGAACCGCAAATAATCGAATTGTTCTTATAATTTTGTGTAAATTATATCTGTGTATTATCTGAGTATCAGAGGCCGTCTCAGGTCTTACGTATCAATATTTCAAAAATAGCTGAAATATCGTTTTCAGATAAATACTTAATGTGTACTTAATAAAAAAATAAACTTATTTTGGAATTAGGCAATTAATGCCTGTAATGTAACGACTATAATTCCAGTGTTACTTGCGATTATGTTACGCTTCTAACACCTTTTTCTTTACAAATACATTTTGAAAAAAAAAATTACGGGCACTCGTGTAAAAAGTAGCTAATATCATAAATCAATATTTTTATTCTTGTTACCAATCAAAATTTTGTGCTGCTACAAACACTAGCACAACATAAATAGTCTAGTCATAGAAAAATAACCAGAACATAAATACAGTGATTTCCATTCCAATGAAAGAATAAGGAGAAACAACAATCGAATGCAGAGAAGACAACGAATCAAATGGTGCCTATAACAATAAATAAGTTTCCTTAACAACGGCAAATACCAAGAGCGTTGGCTTTTGAATCGACTGATTATATAAGGAAGGCTCGTTCTTTTTCACATTTCCTCTTACTATTCTTATTTTTTAAAGCTATTGTTGCCTTCCCTTTGCGTTCCTAATGTCGGTGAACGGGATGAATATTTATTCTGTTTGTTTCAGAATGAAGCGAGTAAGCGATTGTCTATTTTCTTTAGCTTGTACAATGTACAAATAATAAATTTTGGAAATCATAGACATAATTAGGTATAGGTTTCCCTGTTCTGCTGTAATATTTTAGATTAAACGCTTCTTCTAATACATCATAAGAAACAAAGGTGCTTCCCACTGTTGTTGAAAATTGCTTATCAACAACGATCGCTGGCCGCGGCGCTTATCCTTACGCAACCGAGCTATATCATAGTCTAACATTTGTTAAAACATTATGAAAATACCAACATTGCCGACAGACGTGCGTAGAGTATCTATAAATAAACCTACATACTGTTTTCGTAGGTGCGGTCCATTATTTATTAATTAATACAACGGTGCTTAATTTTAATGAGTGTTACTCATGCATCTGTTAGCCTATCCATAAAACACGTCCCTCTGTTTTAGTCTCTTGTACGATGGATGTTTTAAAAGCCATAAGTTAACTTAACGACTGTTTACCACGCGAATATGAATTTAACATTAAGGGTAGGTTACACCATCGTACTTTAACAATAAATAATAAACATGTCAAATTACCGGTTAAGAAAATAATCAATTTCCTTATTGGCTATAGCTAGATGACGTCATAACTTTATATGTTATATATAACCACCCAAACTTCGCTGGTTGAAGCTAATGTTTTACTATGCTTAAAAAAACGAGGATGATGTAACGCATTCCGTAGATAATGTTAAAGTCAGTTTGACAGTTATTGTCAAAGGAGTTAGGGCGGTTTTGGGCCATTTGCGACCATTGATGAAATAAGTGTCAAATGAAAGTACTATTAAGCTTAAGAACAACTTTTGCTTTATTGGATTCATTTATTTATTTAACAAACTTTATTGATCATTGTATTTGTACAAGAGGTGGACTTAATGCTAATAGCATTCTCCACCAGTCAAAATAGAAAAACACAAACGCATAAATATAATACATATATGATGTAATCTACATAAACGTACCAAGAGAAAAGTGTGAGCTTTCCGTTTAAAGCTGAATTTGTTAGGAGATCATCTGATGGTGTCGGGGAGGCCGTTCCACAGTCGTATGGCTTGAAGGGTGATAGAGTCGGCCATAAAGCCAGAATGGAGTAGATAGTGTAAGTTTATTAGCAGAACGCAGTTGTCTATCATGAGAATCACAACGGTATTGAAATTTACATTTTAGGCAATTTGGAGAATTAGGGTTAAAAAGAACGAAAAAGAGCATACAGTACAGTCGTAGCTATCTGCGCTGACGAATAAGAAGCCATTTTAGTTGAAACCGATAATACGAAACATGATCATACTTTCGAAGACAGAAAATAAATGTGACGAGGGTGGCTTTTCGTTATAAGCCTTTGTTATGAAACTGCTAGTATTTATATGTTAGCTATCAGCAATGTTTTATATATCACGCGTCATATTTTGCGATCGTAGTGCATTTATTATACATTTTAATGTTTTAAAAAAATCATCATCACCAGCTATTAATGTCCCCTCTGCTGGGGCTCAAGCTTTCTATATGGATGGAAGCAAATCAAATCTAATAGGGAGAACGGGCCATGACCCACCACGCTGGTCCAGTGCGGATTGATTGGTATTAACGGCAGCAGAAGCAACCAGGACCAACGGCTTAAAGCACAGAGGAGCTCAAGATAATGAATTTTTGTCGACCCTTCCTATGACCGGCCTTGTGAAATTAGCTTAACAACATATAGAATTATTAAACAAATATTTTTTAAATTATCAAACTTGAAACTTTTGCTGTTTAATTATAAAAAGTGGATTAAAATGAATAGGTACTCGGTTTAAACTATTTGTCGCCAAAAGCAAATTTACACAAGAGAAAATGTCAAGTTAAGATGTGTTTACTAAATTTAATCCTCGTTTAATACGAAAATACGGGTTTAACACCCAGTTTCTGAATTAAGAATATGAGCATATCTCAAACCGTGCTTAATCCATTTATAAACGTCAGTTAAACAGGTTTTCATTACTGATTTATTATTTTAAATGATCAGTTGATCATCACCATCATCACCAGCCCTTTTACGTCCCCACTGCAGGGGCTCAGGCCTTCCTTATGGATGGTTAAGGAGGATGGGCCACGACCCTCCACGCCGGCCCAATGCGGATTGGAGGGTATTAACGACTGCAAATGCAGCCGGGACTACCGGCTTAACGTGCCTTCCGAAGCACGGAGTAGCTCGAGATAATAATTTTTTGGTCACCCATCCCGTGACCAACCCTTGCGAAAGTTGCTTAACGACTACGATCGCGGACCGCGGCGCTTATCCACTACGCCACCGAGCTACTCAGTTGATAGCAATTTGATAAAGCTAGGACTTTTTGCCAAATAAAACGTAAAAAAATTAAGTTATTGAGAATAATCAATTGAGATTTTGTGCTTTTCTCAATTCAGAAACCGGCCGTAAGTGATATTTTTGCTACTTTTATTTAAAGAAATAATTTTAGCGTCTATTAGAAGACCCTCTTCAACCAAACTCTTAATATTTTCACAAATCCAACAACATAGGCTCAAAATAGTTTGTGATCATTAGAAATCTGAATGTCACTTAATGTGCTGCGGTGTATACTTTAGCAATTGCCTTTTAGAGATACGTCTATAAATAAAACACTAATTACAATATTTTTTATTAAAAATATAAAAAAATCTGACGGTATAATCTTAGGAGGTGATTGTTTAGGAATATCGTAAACTACATAACTTCATTAATTTCAGTATGCCACATTTATAATATTAAAAATATTTACATTTATATATACATTATTTACTTGTATTTGTATACCCAAAAGTTTGATTTGATTACATACATTATATGTTATTTATAGAATTTCATATAATTTATAATTAATCACAGTTGGTATTGTTAAATACGTGTGCATATTCATTTTTTATTCTCAATAAAATACAAAGTGCATTTTAAATATTAGCAAGATCAAAGAGTACATAATACATTTATGGACCATTTTTCATCCAAACAATTCTCCGTACACATATTACCCACACAATTTCACATTCGCTCTTATCACGTTTTATTCCATAAAACTATAGAGATCAAATCACCGAGTATTAAATTATTAAAATTTTTACATATTACGTTTTCTTTAAAAACAATATGTCCTAGAGATATCGCTGCTGCTTTCCGTTTCGTGACGTCACCCGTAGTAAAATTGAGGACCAGAAAAGGCGCCCAAACTCTTTGGACTCATTGTTTCTTCTGGCTCGTTTTCTTTATGGAGTCTTATTTCTCTAGGTGGTGGGGGGACGTAGTCATTGCCATACATGCTGACTCCAGAAGGGTATATAGTTGAAAGAGGTCTCATAGCTCTTATTGTTCCTTTATTCCCTGGTACATTATTGTAAAGTATCATATCTGGATGCACTGGATCATAGAAACTGCCGGATATGTGACTGACGTCTATATCATTATCTATATCAGATACCTCATTGAAAACATTTGGTGGTTCCGTAGAGAACATGTCACCATTTTTACTGTTTCTCAGGGAGCGTCTTATGCGGTAGTATCGGATAACTAGGAATGATACCACTAATATTATAAAAAGCAGTATAGCCACACCTATGTAAATAAATATTTTTTGTTTAGTCTCGGTTTGTGATGGACCTAGAAAAAAACAGACAAACGTTAAGTATATTATTTCTCATATATCTAAACTTTGAACTTTGACGATTTGTCAATTTTATTAGATAATCTAATTTTTTGTTATTATATTATTCAATGAGATACATGCACTGACTTAAACTCATTCAAACAGTAAAGTTGAAACTTTGAAAAGTAGCGAGCGTAGCTTCATTACTAATAAACTGACGTCAAAATACACGAAAAAGTGACGTCATTGCAGATTTAACTGTGATATCGACCATTCTAATATTGATAGCTGAAATAACAATTCGAATGCATTGAAAATTCTACTGCATGAGCGGACTTTAATCAAAACCTTTTTAAACGAGTTTTATTTAACCGTATCCTATTTTATACGCAAACACTCAATCAAAAGTTAACATCTAGTATTTGTAAATACAGCGTCATGAATTTTAATAATCTATTGTATTGGGAACATCATAAAGACAATTATTTTAAACATTATATTTTATTAAGCTTAACTATACAACGTTGAGGTACTATTATACTAAGACAAACTATTTTATTATCTAGATAGCTAAATTAACCTAGTACAACTTTACCTCATCTAATTTAGTATGAGAGTAAAAGTTGTACATAAAATAGTGTTTTTACCCGAATCGTCGACATGTTTTATGACTGGTTGATCTGTAGTTGATACCGGTTCTGGCTTCGAAGAGGTTGTAGATGGATCATTTTCTGGCGGTGGTAACGCTGGATTCACGTTTGATTCTCCCCACTTTTCACCAACTCCCTCTAGTAAAAAGAACCTCAATTACTTTTCATTTGCAACTAGCTGTGCCAGCGACATCGTCTGCGAGGTAGTAGAATTCTTTCTTTCCTATAGATGAAGTCGAATTGAATATGATGAATGGAATATAACTCACTTCGCGGGCTTAATGCGGATCGGTAGATTTCAATGACTGCTGATGCAGCTAAGACCAACGACTTAGCGAGCATTGTGCACAGAGCTCAAAACAATAATAAGTCGGAAGTTAGTCATAGCAACTTAATGTTGAAATGACGCACCTACATAGTATTTGGGCTCGTTAGATTCGTCTTTATGAGGACTTTGGTATTGGATGCTGCCCAGACCAAGGTCTGGTGATGATAGAGCTGGAAGGTTTTCATCGGAACTTAGCAATAAAAACGCAATTGCATCGTGTTTGGGCTCGTTAGGTCAATCTTTATGAGGACTTTTTACTGGTTACTTTCAAGACCAAATCTGGTGATGATGAAGCTAGAAGGTGGTCATAAATCCTTCGTAATGAAATAACGCAACTGCGTCATGTTTGGGCTCGTTAGATCCATCTTTATGAGGACTTTAGTTCTGGATCCTTTCCACACCAAGTTCTGGTGATGATGAAGCTGGGAAGTGGTCATAGGATAGAAACTTAGCAATGAAATAACGCAACTGCGTAGCGTTTGGAATCTAAAGATCTGTCTATATGAGAACAACAATATATATAAGTAAAAAGATATAAAAGATATAAGTAAAAAATAATTAAATTAATTTTATAAAAACAAGCTTTTATTTGTGCACACTAAAACATGAATAAATAAATTCTAAACATTCATAGTACTTATCAAAATAAAAATATTTTCTAACCTGTAATCGACTTGAAAAGCTTGTAGCGCGTTAATAATATGTGTATTTCCTAGTCACCGATTTCATTAGATTAGTAAAATAAAATAATATGAGATGATAACTTATAAAATTGAATAGTGATTATAATAATTTAATTAATCATTACATTAAATATAAATTCAATTTCATTAGATCAGATTATGTCAAAATAAATAAATAAATATTTGCTCGCTCTTTTGTCATCAAAAAGTATTTTATATTATAGTCACTTTTTACTGTCACTGTGTTTTCTACATTTTTGTGCGATTTGATATATGATATTATATTTTAAATAACATTTTATTTAACTAAGCGCATTTTAGAGAAGGGTACTTTTAGCTTGTTTGAATTTCTATTGTTTCATTTTTTGTTTAATTCAAGAGAATATCTTTTTTATTAATTTTTATTAATAGTTAACGAGATACACCACATTAAAAAGCTTTAAAAAGTTCAAGTTTCATTCCTGAGCAAAGTGTTATACTATGAATATCTCATACATCTCCTATTATGTCAGTTTTGGTAACAATATAACATAGTTTGAGTTGGTGAGATGGCTTCACTGCCAGTACACATCTCAATGTTACAATTCAAGATTTATTTAAGAGCCACGTAGCCAACTCCCGTGTGTATTTTGTGCGGTGCTGGCATGTAAATTAGGTACCTGCTGCATTGCCGTGCGCCTCCATTGTACTGTAATTTCTATGGAATTTTAGAAAAGACAATAAATAATTAAATTCTTGAGCGCTGTGTGGTCTTTTGTTTAACCTTGCTTTAAGACGTGTAATAACTCTTTGCGAAAGATTTATTTAATTTGTTGAGCACCCGTTGTTATTTATATTTTATTTTAAATAAATAAGTGTTGTAAGGGTATGTAGGTAAGTTTAAAATTTCGTGTAGTAAAGAATAAAACGTTACGAAAAATAGAAAGAGGAGAGAAATAAATGAACATAGGAGATATATAAAAAATATATATATGTGGAAATAAATATATTTTTTGAATTGCTTGTTCGATATCACAATGGTTAGCGCGTTGGGTCAGCGATATGATTGGTAAGCAACTTTCGCAAGGGTCGGTCACGGGATGGGTGACCAAAAAATTATTATCTCGAGCTACATCGTGCTTCGGAAGGCACGTAAAGCCGTTGGACCCGGCTGCAATTTGCAGTCGCTAATATGCACCGATCCGCATTGGGCCAGCGTGGAGGGTCATGGCCCATCCACCTTAACTATCTATAAGGAAGGCCCGAGGCCCTGCAGTGGGGCTGATGATGATGATGATGATGATGATGATGAATAATCTCCACGACTCGAGTTGTTGTCGTTGTACTACCTGCCTGAAGTCCAATATTAAAATACGAGTACATCTGTGACCATTGGTGTTCGAGGAAGACTCTGAACTAATAATATTGGACTTTATGTAGATATAGTACAATGGTAAAATGCAAGAAGTTTAGATTCTATTGAGATGCGATTATTAGGTAAACATAAGCAGAATTGGCATAGAGTATCAACGTACGAAATCGGGATGATCGGTTTTTTTGGCTGTTCGTCAGGTAAATTATTCAAGATTATTAAACACGTATATAAGTTACGACGATACATCGTATTGAAATTACGTATGACTTCACACCCTTGTGCATACATTGAAGTTGTAATATAGCAAGTCCCCTAATCCTCAATTTCAATGCCTTATATAAGCCATTTCTTGTTAAATCGAAGAAGAAAAAAATCGTATGTAATATTTTCTAACATCTAACTGCCGGACTAAATAGAATTTCTTTTCTTTGGCCTAGGCATCATCTCTTTTCTCTCAGTTTGGTAAGCAGAATCATCATCATCATCCGCCTATTTTACGTCCTCACTGCAGGGGCTCAGGCCTTTCTTATTAATGGTTAAGGAGGACAGACCATAACCCTCCACGCTGGCCCAATGCGGATTGGTGCATATTTACGACTACAAATTCAGCTGGGACCAACGACTAAAAGTCGTGATAATAACTTTTTGGTCACCCATCACGTTCTCGACCCTTGCGAAAGCTGCTTAACAATAATGATCGCAGGCCGCGACGCTTATCCGCTATGCCACCGCACTACCTGGCGACCAAAATATCGTATTATAATAAAATAACCATGATTAAGACAGTCCTTTGTTATATAATGCAACGGAATAGGGGATGCGTGTATCATGATCGCCTACTCAACGAGTCCATACATTATCCTGTAATCCGGTGTAGACAGTTAGTTTGTGAATATTTGAAAATGTTGATGGATCGTGGGCTAGGACAAGTTGGCAACGTGTTGAAATATTGGATGTCTTTTTCAGTACAAAATAGTAGTTTATGCAACTGTCATATAAGAAGGGGTATTAAAACACGAGAGTCTGTTTATATAGGTTGACTCGAGGTGTATTAATACCTGAGTTATATGCAATTTAGTTTCAGTTAGGAAAAATTTTAACTAAACAGAGTAGGTAGGTTACAAGGAAGTAATTTATGCGTGCGGCATTTTTTCACATTTCGAATTGCGCATGTGTGCGCCTTTTTTTCATATTCAGCCCAAAACCATAGACTAGTTTAATGAATAAAAAAGATAGCGGTGCTATAATGAGTTTTGTGACACAGTTGGCGGTACTATAATGAGTTTTATTTTGAATTTTATGTATATGCGTTTATAAAGTGCGTATGTATAGAATCTTCTTTGAATTCGTAATTCGAATTTTTCGATTTGAGTGTAGGTAAAGTATTTTTAAGTACTTTGACTCTTTATCATAGAAAAGGTTTTATGATAGGTATTTACAATAACTAAAATAAAAAGAATGCTTAAATAAACTGTAAGATTTTAAGCTTTACGATAACTTCACTAATATTATTAAGAAAAAGTGTTTAATATTTGAGGATGTAAAGAAGAAAAACAAACTCAAGTAACTGCGAGATCAGAAAGTTCTTACACCAATAAAAAGGAGGTATTATATAGGCGAGTAACATGGGCTACAGTTTACTACTTATTTTATAGTCTATGTATGTAAACAAAAAAAAATTGTCGACCTCCGTAATCGAGTGGTATGCACGCTGTTTTGAAGGTCTATCTCTGAGGATTCGATTACCGGTCGGGTCTAGTACAACATTGACTTCTCGATATTGTCTCGAGTTTGGGTATTCTATTACCTTCGTTGTCTCAGATACTCCATAATATGGGGGCTTTAGCAAATCTTCTTGGAATCTTGGCAATATATGTCATGTTGTGTAATATTAATAAAATACTGATTTCTGTCAGGCAACCTAGCAAAGTACGAAATAATACAATAACATTAAATAAATAAATAAATATTAGACAACATCACATACATTGCTCAGATTCCAAGATGAGTAGCTAAAGCCCCCGTATTATGAAGTCTTAACGTGATAAATTTTAATACTTAGGTTTTTCACCTACCTATATTTCCCAACGTTTATATCCGTTAATGCCCGTTTATACAATGTATTGTAATGCAACGAAAGTTTAAAAGTTAATATAATAATAACTAGCAGATAGTGCATACGACTCAAACACAAAACAATTAAAAAATGATGATTGATGATTTGATAAATGCAAAAATACACAGGTGACAAACAAAGTGCGAGAAGTGGGGGGAAGGGGGAAGGAGATGAACAAAGGAAAGGAAAAGCAGACATCTTCATATAGATAGGAGTATTTTTATTTGAGATTTCAAAGAATATAAAGATTCCTGTGGAATTGACTCGGGTAGCGAGTTCCAGAGTTCGGTTGTCTGTAATATGAATTAATTAATAATTTTCTTACCGGATTCATCGAAAAAACCTTGTTCGTGCTTGTCGTGTACATCACCATTATTCGGCTTTTCGTCGTCTTCTAGTTTGCTCTCATATTTCTCCATCATCACGCCTAAAGGCACTGTAAAGACACCTTAGATTCTATATTCAGATAATAATAGTTTATTTAATTCGGACAAGTGCAAACAACCTGGTTAACAAAAAAATATTAAATTACTCAAAAAATATTTCAAAAATACAAAGATTAACTGTCTTATTTTAAAAAGTACCTATACACAACCTCTTCCAAAAATATAGCGATTTATAGAAGTTTGTAACTTTTAAAGCCGCAATCGCTTTTGAACGACTGATAATATGAATTATCAAAAACATAATAATAACCCAGTTTAACCCATCGAAAGATTGTAGTTAGCATTCAAATCTTTCATTTGACGTTCTCAATAGCACTCATAGATATTAGCGTCTAACGCTTGCTTTATAAATACCAATTAAAGTCAAATTAACTTAATTAACTTTTAAGAAACTTCGCAACTGCAATCGCTATTACATGTCAAATAAGATTTTGAAATTAGAACATTAGGCCCCTGATGTGTTGTCGATTATATACTAGTGCCTAATTCGAGAAAACTTTTATTTTATTTGAAATTGTAAGGCTGCTACGTAATAGAATATTATAAACTATTTTTTTCTTTAAATAGTATTATAATAGTTTTATACACTTTTAAACTTCAAATTTGTAAATAGTAAAGTGACCTCTTGATGTAAATAAGTGGGACTTAGATTTCTGACATTTGACGTTTAAAAAAAATAAAATACCGTTCCTAATTGTGCAGAGTCAACGTTAATAAACGTCAATCTACTGAAATGAGTGCAGACGAATTGAGAACTCCTTCTTTGAGGTAAGTTAAAAAAATATATAAACAGGGAATATTAGATTTTCATACAGTAATAGTCCTTTGCTTTTATTATGAAAGATTAACTAAATAAATATTAGAAAACATCGCATATATTACTCCAAAGAGGATTTACTATTCTCCTTGTATTACTCATATCTCAAATAACGAAGCTTTTAACACTTTTACTAACCTGAAACTGCGAATTATTGTCCTAGCATAGCTCATATTTCAATTTAAATAGCTTTTAGCACTTGTAAATATTGAAAAATAGAAATATCATAACACCCCGACCCGAGACAATATAGTATAGTCAATTTCCAATTTTCAATCGGAAATCGAACCTTGGAACTCAGCCGAGGTGGTCGTCATTTTATCAACTTTCTGAGTAAGCGTAGTAGAAACATTAGTCTCGTTCCTACTAACATACAATACCATGAATTTTATAAATTCTATTTGAAATGTAACGAAGCGAACAGCATTAGGTTGTTGAGGTGGCACTCGTACGGCAGCTGTTCGGCGGGCGCCAGAAAATTTACCCCATTACCCTTCATTTGCACATGCCATTTTCTTGATTTACACATTATATTCCCGAGTTTCATTACTTTGACCTAGTTTTGTTGCGTGAATCAGAATTTAAAAATTGTATTATATGTTTAATAATCAGTTAATGTAATCAACATAAAAGGTTCACATTATCATCGACAGCCCATATATTTTCACCACTGCTGGGCCACTGGCCTTCTCTCTGGATGCAATCGGATCTAATGGAAAGAACACAGATACCCGTGTGTTTTTTCACGTACCTAATCTAAATATATACAAAGGTGACTGACTGACATAGTGATCTATCAACGCACAACCTAATCCACTGGACGGATCGGACTGAAATTTGGCATATAGGTAGATGTTATGACGTAGGCATCCGCTAAGAAAGGATTTCGATTAATTCTACCCCCAAGGGGATAAAATAGGGGATGAAAGTTTGTATGAAACTTAGTCAATTTTAAACCGATCGGGCTGAGACTTTGCATGCCTAAAGCTACTATGACGTTAGCATCCCCTAAGAAAGAATTTTGATAGATTCCACCCCTAAATATAAAACAGGGGATGAAACTTTATTTAAGGTATTTTACACTATATAAGAAATAAATATTCGTTAGAAATGCTGCTCAAAGTAACATTATCACGTGAACGAAGTCGCGGGCAAAAGCTAGTTAGACTAAAATAATACTTGTAAAATATTTTCTCGGTACTACAATTTAGAATTGAAATCTTTCCTAGAGAAGACAATATTCTTGATAGATTTATATTTCTTTTTTTATTACACCTATGCAATTATAATGAATATCGTAGCGTAAATAAATAAATATGAACCAATAAAAATTGTTATTACTTTTCTAGGAGATAAAATACTCTTTAAGTCTTAGCCGTTATCTTTCACACAAACTGTCATCTTTTCTTCGGAAATCTTTTCCTTATATCCCTATTCATATTAAAATCAACAAAAAAATACTTCTAATCCTGTCTTGAATATATCACAGCGTCTACCAAGATCATCTGAGTACATTATAATTATAATAATTATTCATACTACACACACATGTGTCCTTAACCTAACTCGTCGTCTCAAAATTTTGAGACTTGAATTGTGCATAGTGAAATACTAAATCTAACACTATTGAGAATCAAGTTATCACAGAATAAGAAATACCACGAGCCAATTCGAACTTCACGGTCACCAAGTTCAGGAAGAAGAACTCTTTTTAAATCTTCTAATGTGTTGCTCATTGCATTGTAAAATGAAATCGTCATAACAATTTACTCACCACAAGCATATATTACTTTAAGATAAGTTCTTGTTTTTGTACCGCAAGTTTCACCGAACACCTTATCGCTTGCTTCAATTTGGCATCTTCGCTTGCCGTGGCAAATCTGCATCACGATATCCAGAGAACGTGGTGCCATACACGCTACAACATTCAACAAAATATTTAGTTATTTATAAACAATACGCATAATGATCAATATGCGTTTTCAAACATACAGTACGCCGAATCTTACATCCGTATTCACTAACCTAGATTAAGCCACAGCTTAACTAGGAAACGCCTTACTTTACGAGTCGCATAAGCAGATTAGTAAAATTAACACTTCTTCTTTTATCCGTCGACACATTTGTAACCTGTCATATTACACAAATGTCTAGCAGTAAACATAACGCATCTCATAACTTTAGACGTAGCTTAATGTCGATAGGTGATTTCTAGTCATTGGTGAAATGCATTTTCACCTTAAGCGATTCCCAAATATTTAGGCAACAGATTTGTTGTGACTCCCTAAGTTTAGTGAAAACGGACATAAGGTATTAATTCACTAGGTGCCAAACCAAAAGTCATGAACACTAAACGGAAGTTGAAAATTATCATTATTACGAGTATTGTATTTGTACCATACTGAAAAATATTCTTAATGATAAATGCTTAAAGAATCCACTGGGACACATGAGACTCGAACACATGACTTTTCGCCACCCGGGCGACTGCCCTAAAGGTCATGGGTTTAAGTCCCATCTCAGAGTGCCAGGGTCAAAGTGGATTACTGTTTCACATACGGAATTATGCAATTGACAATGCGAATCCAAAAACAAACGTCAAATTTCAAATGATAAACAATGAGCGAAAGTTGTGGGTATAGTTGCGCGTACAGGGATTTTAGTGTGGACCACACTGGGAATTATGCTAATTAATAACCTAACAAATTAATACTTAGCGATAAAAACTATATAATGGGATACAAGTATAGTGAAAATCTAAGTTCGGCTCATGAAAATGTTGGCAAAGTGGAAATTTCATGGAAATAGATACTAAACTTTTGTGCTCGAAATTAATTTGATTCGAAACTGATAATTTTCATGATAAACGTTGCTTAATCCTTTCAAACGTTTCGGCAGTATAGCTTTTTAATTTCGTCAAATTATAATGTATTATTCACAATAGTCAAAATACGTAGTCTGGGATTGTCATTAATTGTGAATGCTATTGCCTTTCGTGTTGTTTTGCCGTTTTCCGTGATTGAGTTGTTATTGTTTCATTGTTGTTGTTTTTTATCTTTTTCATGTTAAGTTTTGCTTAATATGGACGACTCCTGTGTAGGCCCGAATGGCCTACAACAACTACCTTTGACATTTCAGAAAGTTTTTCCAATATCTTCATCAATAGTCTAATAATATCTGAATAAATGTTATAAAAGTAATAATTAAAATGTCATTTTTTTACCTTTTTTCCTGGGCATAGATATAACTAAATTCTATTTTAATTATATATACTTAAAATTACAATTTATTAAAACAACAGATAGATAGTTTTAGTTCCATGTTGGTTTGGGAGTAAAAGATAAATTTAGAAAATTATAGCCTTATCGCAACCCCGAGAAAATGGAAAATTGCTCAACTCTTTCAGACTACCTAACGTTCAAAGTTTCAACAAAACTATTATATGTCTTTTTTTAATTTATCTTGAAAATAAAATGTTCTGCACTTCTGCTTCTGTGATCCTCTTTTTTCTAATGTTATAATGAATGGAGTATAAGGGCTCATTACGTCAACTTAAAATTTGGAGTTGCATATTTTATTAACAACACAACCTCAACATTTCAAGACATTATAAGAAATTATACAATTTTTTTATTGACAATAAACGGAATTTTATAGATATTGTTTATTTCAAATAAACTATTGTGAGAATGAGGAAGTATTTAAAAAAACATTAGTTCCCGAAATCTAACTAGATGTCGCCACGGTACGTTCTTGATTTCTCCATGACAACCTTTCCGGTTTTCTTTCATGTTTGAAAGTAAATTAGTTTTCCAAACTCAATAAACAACTTATATTCTATTTGTACTTTGTTTGTATTGATATCTAAGTTTCGAACTTTTCGAATTTCAGTTTTTTAATATATTAGTTAATAGGAACGGAAATGACTGTCTTTGGTCCATTCGTTTCCTTCAAAAATCAACTTTTGCTAGAGTCGCCATCTAGTGGAGGTACTATTTAGTGCTTTTGTATTTCTTTAAATACTTCCTTATTATAAAATAGGAGAATTAATCGTTAAAACATGTGATAAGAACCGTAATAAATCTGTCAAAATGTTATTGTTTGACGACGGTGTCAACAAAAGGTTGTACTTATATAGTTTTGTTGTTGTTCGCACTTAACTAACGACTTTATAAGAAACTTGTAGGAAAACCCATACACGAGTCAGCCGCGCTAACGCCGTCCATTTTGTCGGGAAAACGACATCTATTAATCAAGTGAGAAATAATAGCTGCTTGGAACACCTGCCGCGAATAATGGACACAAATAAACAACTATTACGTCCTTCCTACCTACTTGAAAGAATTTACACTCAGTTGCACAAATGTCCATTAGAATTGTATAATTGGTGTTGAGCAACATAACCGATACATTTTTTTTAAATTTAGAACATTAATTAGTACTTACAGTCATCATTTATCCTATAGTCTTTGCAACTAGTTTAGCTGCAGTTTTATAAAACTTTTTTATTTATCTTTTGAGAGACACAAACACCTAATTGTACAAACCACCTAAATTATAATAGTTTAGAATAATCGTTTATTGACACTTATATACTTAAATAAAAATCAGTAGAAAAAAATCATGTTTTACAAATAGCTAGGTGCCAAATGGGACATCAAATCTGCTTAATGTTAGGCACAAGACTACCTAACGCTAATTTTCAGCTACAACCTTAAGGTGACAAGGTACGCACGAATATCAAAATCATTTATAAGATTTAATGACGAATGTTCTTATGAAAACTTGTATAAGTAATGTCGCTTAAATTAATGAAATTTTAATGTGCAACTGGATGTAAGTAATGTTTCAGTAACTTTCTTAGCTAAAAGAATAATTGAATATTGCAATCCTACAAACCTGGATTTAAGCTTTTATTATTGTTTAATAATAAAAAGCCTAATATTTTTTTGTTGTTTATGGTTGATGTCAATTGTTTGTTAGCCTTATTGAATTCCTTTCTCGAGTTTTATGCTTAGTTACAGACTTAGTGGTTAATTTGTATTTATACAAAGTTACCAAGTGTTGAGCACATGACCACACTGAGAACCATTACTTATGTATCGACCGTTACCACTAGTGTCCACTCTAGTGTCACGAACATTTTCGTCACGATCTCTCAGTCTAAAAGGTTAACCTCGATATTAGAACACCTGTGGAGTTTTACTTACTTGTAGAGGAATTTGTAAACGTTAACAAATGCAGAAAATTTGCGATACGTTTAATAATAATTCTATTAGATTATTTCAAAATGTATTAATCATTTTATTAAGAATCATTTTGAAAGTAAGTATTCCATTAAAGGTATACTATAATAGAGGAAAGTAATTAAATATAGTTAAATACAATTTAACTTTAGTACATCTTAAAAACTAGTAAAAAAATATACGTGATCTTTATACAAAACGTATGTGATACTGACTTATTGTACATACAGTGTACAATACCACATATTTACTACGGAATTTTTCCAATTAATTTTGAGCTTTAATAAGTTAGGCGTTAATTTCAAAACAGACTGCAAACACTTGTTGTTTTTTAATAATCAATATAGTGTTGCATAAAGCGCTATCAATGAAAAAATCGCAATTCATTTTGCTGGGAACATGTTTATATTTTTTTTAAGTATATCAAGGCCTTTATTACTTTCTTTCTGACAATACTGTCGCTTTGAACTAAACTATAAAACTAATGTCTCTAAATTTCACTTAGAGAACTTTAGCAATTAGTGTGCAACGTCTAAGCTAGATTATCTGGCAGCGACATTTTGTAATATATCACTGTGACATCTTGCTTTGTAGTGCATTAGTAAAGACTAATATTATAAAGAAAGGTTTTATGGGTTGCTTGTATTGATAACGCTCCGAAAAGACTAATTTCAAAAATTCTTTCATATACAACGGGAAGCTACATCTTACGAGGGTAATATAGACTATAATTTACGCAAGCGAAGTCGTAGGAAAACAGTTTGTTATAAACACAATTGACAAATGCTGTTATTTCAATTTTATATGAGAATTTATCAGTTTTTGAAGCTTATAATATTGCATTATTATTATAAGATAGACATCTTATTTACAAATCGAAATAAGTTTAAACCATATTATATTGAAGAATTGATTATTATATTTAATTATAAATTAAGAAACATGGGAATGTAAATTATGCATAAAATAGAATTACATTTAATTAACATCATAAATATAAACTTAAATAGACAAACAATTGTATTCAAATATTTTTTTAAATTTGTCAATGGTCACCAATTGAAACTAATTTTCTTGAATCATGGAAAACGGTTACGTCAAAATCGGTTCATTCATTTGGGAGCTACGGTACCAAAAGCTCGTTAAACGCTCCGCTGGACATTTAATAAGTAGCGGTATGTTCTATCGTCTGTCCTGTTATAACTTATGTATTTTATTATACAAAGATGATTATTCATCCTAAAACGGTTTTAACCCTGTTAGCGTTAGAGATAAAAAATGATACTTTCACTTGAAAGTTATATAGGAATACTCTTCTTTTCTATTCATCGATATTATTAATACATTTCTTTTCAATATAACATTTTTTTTTTCTATCCATTCATAACTTCTTTTGTGTGGTCAAAGCCGATATTAAACATAAAGTAAACCCCATTCTATTAGAATATTCATGACGACATTTTAGGAATCAATCCAGCAGTTCTTTTGATTATTTTTGCAATACCTATCAAGTCAAAAAGTAATATACCTATTAGTATTTTACCAGGATAAAAGCTTTTTTGTTGAGTCCCTATTTTCACAAAACAATACTACTAAGTTTAATTCAATCTATATTAGGTTTAAATCTATTGTATATTATAAGAGGTTGCTGTGAATTTTGCCGTGACTGTCTTTATTTTTTCCGTTTAGAAGCAGAAGTTTGTTCGTCGTTAAATTTTCTTATTATATTCGTTAGAAGTTTTCTTAAAGTAATAGGGATGACGACTAATTTTTATTTGTTTGTACATAAAGTAGAGTGTTGAAAAATATTAAACACGTATTTTTTTCGTAATCATAGAATTACGGCTTTAGATGGAGTTGAAATTTCGCATGACGTCACGTTATGGTACGTTTTCTACAAAACTGACGTAGCGAGCCTCCACTCCTTAACTTTAATGCCTGTTATCTAAGCTATTTCTCGTTAAATTGAAGTAAAAAAAATACGTATCTAATATTTTTCTATTATCTGACTGACGGACTAAAAAGAATTGCATTTTTTTTCTCAGTCGTCATCCCTATTATTATGTATTAAATGCAAAGACATTAAATTACGACATTGGTTAAATACAAACAAGTTTCTCCATTCATTATTCTTAACAGTTAATAATAGCCCTGAATAAGAAAGTAGACTCACAACACACGCCTCTTGCTGGCTATATCTAGTTAGCTCTCTTATATGTTTTATGTCTTGAGATAATTTGAGGAAATTGGGACTTTACAGCACTTTCACATTTAGACGTTTTAGTTGTGCGACTATGTGTAAATGTCGTATGTATAAATGTCAAATCGCGCAACATAAAACTGCATCTTAAAACGCCTAAAAGTGAAAGCAATCTTAGAATCAAATACCTATAATTATTTATTATCATTTTGCAGTCAATCTCAAAACTGAAAACCTCTTGTAATAGTCTTGTAACTCTACCCTGAAAGCATTAAGACTTAAAATCAAGTGGAGAAATATGACAGATTTATATAACCTAACAAGCTGTTAACATCTAAACTACGGAATTCAAATTATTAACATACGGAGAAAATTGGTACTCACATTCTTCCGGCATGCCATTCTGATGGCAAGTGACAGGTTCACGAGCATTTCTGCCATATTGAGCGTCCAAGATGGCCACCCGAAAATGTGGAGTACACCTGAGTTTGATGACGTCATCTTGACAGCAAGTTCGGCTACGAAACTCATCTAAGAGAAAAGGTGAAGAATTATTTAATCGTAAAGTTTATGGCATTCAGAAGTTCGATGACAAAACGTTCAGTTTGCTTAGTAATTGCGAAGATTAAATAATTTTCGCTAGAGTAGGTCATCGAGTGATTAAAAATTTATTATATCATGTTCTTATAATATAAATCTTCTAAATGACTGCAAACTAAGAAATTTAATACAATAAGAATGGGAAAAATATTTTTTAAATTCAAAAACATTTTTTTTAAATAATCTATCGGGTCAACGTGTGAGAGAAAAAAAGAGTTTGTATATGTGTGTGTATTTGTGTGCCAGTGGTGTGCACACAAATATGTTCTGCATACTCTACCCATATAACCCAACTAAACCTTCATTGTTTAATTCTTACATATTCATACATTAACTCGATACGAGTATTCAGACTCATGATCATGATTTCATCAAATTAGTAAAAGTGTCATCTATCAAAAGTTGACAGAACTACTATAACATTCTTGTAAGCGGATTATTTTAAACCGACCGCTACGCTGGCGCCGCCTCCACCGATATGGCTTTAAGCTGCACTTCTTACAGCTTATTCGCAATACAAACATGTAAGTCAAAATCATTTGTATGTGTGTGTAAAATTCATGCATGTGTTACAGTTTTGAGAGGCACTGCTTACCGCCACCTGATTTAATTAAGTCATCAAAAGAGTAGCGTTTGCGCAAAGGGACTACTTTTTGGGCCGGTGTATCGTTTAAACATTTTTTCGCCATTTCGTTTTGATTATTTTTCTGAGCGTAAGTGATTAAGTTATAAATCATAATCAATCTAATTACGTAGTAATTTATTTACTGTGATTTTTGGAAAATTATAGCTTTAAGCTCTTTCTGCTCTGTGCTGGTGATAAATTAAATTTGTACGAATGCATTTTTGTTGTCGTTTGAAGAAAAAATTAAGATAGCTGCAAAGGAAATGTGTATGCTCGGGTTATATTTAACTAAAAAAAAATAGTTTAGGTAATAAGTAATATTGCTCGTTCTTTAATTAAAAGTATTATGATATTTTTAATAGGCTAGCATTTAAAATTTATATACGTAACAAAACAACCTTGTCATTTTTACAACGATGTTTTACTGAATTAAGCATTAAAAATATACACACGTTGATTTAATTGAGTGTGTATGCGTGTGTGTGTGTGTCTGCGTGTGTGTGTGTGTGTGTGTATGTGTGTGTGTGTGTGTGTGTGTGTGTGTGTGTGTGTGTGTGTGTGCTTTGGTGTGTAAGTGTGAGTGTGAGTGTATGTGAGTGTGTGTGAGTGAACGGCATAGTTACTAGCTGAATAACTTTAATTTTGTGAAACCAGTAGTTTGGTTATTTCCAAATGAAATTATTCAACTATTCCGTTAAAGTAACCATGAAATAGCGGTCATTATTAATGTCACCATACAACGTTTGTTTACTCCTAATTGGATAGCGTATCCTTTTAACGTATTCACGGTTTTGGATTACTAATGGCACGGAAGGGTTACAAAGATCGCATCATAGGCAATTTTGTTAAAAGCAAAATTAACTAGCCCGCATTTTAATTTTGAACTATTTGTAAGTTTGTAAGTTTGTAAGTTTGAAACTATAAACTAATTTTAAAATTGATAAACGGAATCTTAAATTGAACGGAAACACAATATTAAATGAGCAGAGAAAATACATCTGTAATATTTGTACAGAACCTTCTTTGAATAACAACTCATTTATAAATGTAAGTTTGCAAGTCATTTGTGAAATTAAAACCGCCAAAGAGCAATACTATAATAATCGACTTGTATAAAGAGAGTTACTTACAAAATAATAAAATTTAAAAACAAGTAACTTGTTTTTTAATAAATATGCTTTAATAAGTTTTTCTGTTAACGTCATATGTATTCAGAAATTATCGAGTAATAGTGAATTTTTGTCATATTCCATTCAACTTCAAATATGTTTATTACGAAAAGCAATAAAAAAAATACAAAAAATTTTAAAGAGACAAGCCCTCTCAATTATAAGTCATATAACATTATGTAGCTTGAAAAACTTTTAAAATTTTTCTAAGTAATCGGTGGACTAATTTACAGCTTTTTACTAAGTATTACCTACATTCCAAAACTTTCTCCGTTCGCAAATCTATTGCCGACACTTTATAAGATTTTATTTAACGAAAATGTATTACTAATAAATCAAACAGACCGCTTTTCAGTTTTTTTACACCCCTTTGAACAATAGATTAGACTAAGTACTTTTTTCGAACACGTCCCACCCGTATTAGACATGCCCGTTTCCCGCTAATGAGTAGCCGCGCCTCCCGGCACTCCTCGCCTCGCCCAGGGCACTAACCCTGGAATTTATTAACTCGGCATAAATATCGAGTCGGTACTTACAGGACTATGCTACGTCACGCGAACTCGACGTACAGAGTATTAATATGAAAGTAGGGTGACCATAGATTGCGTAGTGTTCCGGAACCCATTTTACATTTTAAATGGGACTGAAAAAACACTAATTAAGAAGTCCGAATATCTTTTCACAATACGAGTGACTACCAACTACTTCAGCTACCCGAGACTGTCAAATTTCTAAAGTATTCGCAACGTTTCCAGGAAGGGCATGTTTAGGTACTATACCATAACAGACGAAAGAATATATTCCACATATATGAACATTACAATAAATTTTAGGCCACAGGATGCGTGCTAACTAGCGGTGCTGTGCGGTGGCACAGCAGCGCCACTACTGCACCGAAACAGCAGTGGCGCGTGTGTATCTTTAAAGTCTCTTATCATAAGGTTTACAACCGATTAATAAAGAATTGATTTAAAGTAAGAACCTCTCAAACTATATTTAAACTTCACTAAAGCCGGTTTTCGTTTATGATTTTAATTTTTTAATGATCAGTTGATAGCAGTTTGATAAACATAGAATTTTTTTACTTGTGAAGCATTATAAACTTAAGTTGTTGGAAATTATCAATTGAGTTTTTTTTATTTTCTCAATTCAGAAACTGGCTGTTAGAGTTGCGGTTTCAATATGTATAAGTTTATATACAAAATAGCAAATACTATTGCTATTTCATCTACTTATAACATATAAGATTTTTCTTATTTCATGTTTTTTTTTATAGATTTATAACTTTTAAAAATCTACATTTTTATAAATAAACAAGCTTTTCTAGCAAGTTTATCTAGCTTCCCGTAGGTGAAAAAAATCTTCATCATCATCACAAGCCCTTTTACGTCCCCACTGCAGGGGAGGGCCTTCCTTATGGTTAAGGAGGATGGGCCGTGACCCTCCACGCTGGCCCAATGCGGATTGGAGGGTATTAACTGCAAATGCAGCCGGGACCAACAGCTCAACGTGCCTTCCGAAGCACGGAGTAGCTCGAGACAATAATTTTTTGGTCACCCATCCCGTGACCGACCCTTGCGAAAGTTACTTAACGACTACGATCGCGGGCCGCGGCGCTTATCCACTACGCCACCGAGCTACTAAAAAAATCTTAAAACCGGCAAATTAGTTTGGGAAGCAATTCAATGCAAACAAACTATTAAATCTTCCCTGTCTTTATAATATTGGTATGGATAACTATGAACATAGTTACAACATTCAAATATAAGCCTACGTAATGATTTAGTAATTACCTATCTTCGATATTAAGGTCAAAAGAAATGATCCCATGACTGTAACGATCCCTGTTAACGGTGTCCTCGAAATACGATAAGAGTCCCATTTGATGACGTTGCCATTTCGAAATTCAGGATAGATAAAAATGGCCGGTTTGATGGCCAATTACAGGTTCAGTTATCGTTAAATGGAGGCCAGTATGATAAAATAAACTTTTTAATAATTTCATCTTTATTACATCTTTACTAATATTATAAAAAGGAAAGATTTGATTGTTTATTTTTTGCATAGAATAGTCTACAAACTATTAAACCGATTTTAAAATGTTAGCTACATTATATGCGGGTGACATACGGTAAGTTGCACAAATGTTCATTAAGGTTTAATGACGCCTTTAAGCTCTAATGAATGTCAAATATGTATGGGTAATGTCGCTTTTAACTAATGAAACTTTTAATGGTCGTTTCTGCAACTGGCTGATAGACTTTAATTTGCACGGAAAAAGTCGCGGGATAGAAAAAGGAGTTTGAAGTCATTTCATAATTAAAAATATATAAAGAGGTTGCATATATTCGCAACCTCAGATCTCTTTTAATTCATATCGGAAATCGCAAAGAACAAAATAATACTTTCGGCTTTGTTTTTGTTTACATCCATTTTGCTATAATATCTGTGACGCAATGTTTAAATTATCTTAGTTAGTGGCAGTATTTCACATGGTGAAATTAATTGTAAATGTTACTATATAGAAATAACAGCGCTGCGTTCGACGTCGAGTTCAAGGCTATTTTTAACAAATTAGCACATAGCTGGTGAGTTTTATTTAATATTTTTCATTAGTATTATTATCAATATAGCACTGTGAATGCGAAATTAATCACATTTTATAATATTTACCAGTTGCCACTATATTAAAATGTGATTCAAATTAGAGAGCACAGGCTCTGCTCGTATTTCAGAATAGAGAGGGTATGTAATTGAATATTAGTTGAAATGCATTCCGCTTACTATTATGACCTTAAACAAACGTATTATTGTTTGATACCAAACAATACATTTCATTCGCTAACAATAATAACATGGTATTATTTGATAATCTAATTTTAATATGAGACTTGCAGATTGATATGAAATGGAATAACAATTATTAATTAAATTATAGAATGAATTCAATTATATTCATATTAATCAGCAAACCTTTAACAATGGAAAGCAGAAAACAGTGGTTTAGAACCCGACGAAGACATAGCTTTTAATTTAATAAAGAACATACTAGATGTTTTCCCAAAATTCGCCAGCAAAAATTATAGCTTCGCGTTTGATGTAATTTCCGAAGATTAACAAACAAAGTATGAAACTTTACCCCTTTATAACATTAGTATAGAATTTGTTTATCTTACCTACCCCTAAGTTAGGTGGTCAATCCCATAACTCTCGGTGCCATAGCACAGTAACCACTAGGAAATTATTATGGGGCATTAATCATCAAAGATCCGAAGCATGTCACGCGATGCTAACATATTGAGGGGTCTCCCGAATAGGTTCATCATTTCCTTTATGATTTTAGATTGACGGCCGATAGTTAAGTGATTAAAAGTGAATTCTGAGGGGAAAAGGGAGAATGGATACCATAGACAGTATAATGGAGAACGTATAAAAATATATTTTCTGAATATTTCTGGATTTTAAGTTCTCGATTGACCGTGAGAGCACTAAAAACTCAACTGATCAGTCCGAGCGATACTATAATTGAGACGTTTTTAAGTTTTCTTTTAGTAATCCAAAAATCAAAAACTTTGGGCCATAAAACCTTATTACATAAAATGATAAAAATAAAATGAATATTCCTGAAGGAATTTTTAAAAATAACAACTATAAAATTTAATAATGATTAAGAAACATAAGAAAGATTTTGAAACTATTGGAGAAATTTTAAAAATTATTTCAATTAGGTACGTGAAACTTCATCATACGTAGTAGACGCCATTTATAACTTACTCAAACGAAGTCGCGGGAAAACTGCCAGTGAGTAATAAGAAGTGCGGATATTTAAAATAAACAAATTTACTTACTTATTTTATTTTATGATCAAAAGAAAAAGACTAGACATATGGTTCCATATATTAGCGACTAACAGTTTCTGTAGAAATTTACACTTCAATTAATTAAATAGCTTTCATTATTTTATGATCACCGATAGACACTCGCTTATAAATATTTCTAACGGATCCAATAAAAATCCATCAGATTACCCGTTATGTATTCGGTCGATTGCCCGTCAAGTGATCAAACGATTCAAGTAAATCTCACGAATTGATTGCTATGCAGTAGCCTCCTTGTATAATCAGATCTTTTAGGGCTGGTGAATTCAGTGTAAGCTGCATAATAATAGTAGATTATAATAGTAGGTAGGTATAATAGTAGTAATAATAGTAGGTTTTTAATCATCATCATCATCATCAGCTCTTTTACGTCCCCACTGCAGGGGCTCAGGCCTTCCTTATGGATAGTTAAGGAGGATGGGCCATGACCCTCCACGCTTGCCCAATGCGGATTGGAGGGTAAGGTTTTTAATAATCAGATTCAAATGAAATTATTTCCGTTACCAACATTGATGTGTATGGTAATGTAAAACAAATAAAGTCATTTATGCTCTTGTTGGACCAGGACACGATCTATTGCAGCTACTTTTAAGATGTGCTCTTCGGAAGTTTGAGATATTATAAACAATAAAAAAATTACTCTAAAAAGATAATGTTTATTGATGTCGGTCGGTAAATGTTAATATTCTTTATTTAACCTTTTCCGAGATTGATTTTAGTAATTATAATTTCATTATTTTAAATTGTAAATGTCTTTAATAATAATAATAACATGTATTCAGCTAAATCTTTACTTGTTTCTTAGATGATTGTACATATGTAGTGATACATCTAAGTTAAATATAGCAGGCGGTTATATACGAATAAAGGTACAATAAAAAAAACATCGACTAAAAACACCAACGCAAATTTTGTGTCGTAAACTTAAATATGTAAGGTATTTACGTCTAAACGCAAGGTCGTTTGAACTCAACTGTACAAAAAGAGCAGTTTCCCAAACATTCCTTTGCCAATCTATATTTGTCGTGTTACCAACGAAACCCCTCAACTAATCAGTCAAGCGGTAACCCTGCCGTAACGATTAACAACGTCGAGTTTGAGGACGACCGGCGCGTAGACTTTGATATATTCCTTTTGCAGACTTGATTGCGGTCTCGGATCTCCAATCCTGTTAAGACATCAAAAAGTTGCGCTCCGAATAGTTATTAGTATATTTCTTTATAACATTATTCATCATAGCACACTCACAGTTTTGTGGGCAGTCATCTATAAAACTGACTGATGTCTTTTACTCAAAACTTTAAAATCATGCTAGAAACAAGACCTCGAACGTAAAAGATTAAGAATTAAAAAATCTTTGTTTACCTCAGATAATTAAATTTTCAATCCACTGAAGCTCTTATTATTCTTATACATTATACTTGTAATACACTTATATAATAAAAATACAATTATATTTCTATCAGCTACTCACAAATGAGTTAGTCACCGTTCTGTGAATGTGTGTTAAATGTTCATTCACACACATATACGTACGCACACTCTCTCCTTCTCTCTCTCTCTCTCTCTCTCTCCCTCACACACACACACACACACACACACACACACACACACACACACACACACACATACGCACGCACGCGCGCTTGCACTCCTGTAAATTTTAAATGATCACTTTATTTTATACACCTTTTTAATAGGCGTTGTTTAGTTATGCACAGGAGTCCCTGATAAATCGAAAAATATATTATACAATTTTGTGTGAAAACGAAATATAATGTATATTAAGATTATATTTATATAATATAATGTATAAACGAAATATAATGTATATATATGTATATAAATATAAGCTACGCATATCAATCAATATTTATGTCAATCGTATCAAATAATTAAATCAAAATTGATTACATTTTATTGTAGGTCACAAAACAATTAATTTGTTAAATCACAGTGATTTTTCTTAGAATTTAGGGTAGAAAATTACTTTTTACTTTGTCTAAATTGTTCACTGGAAACTTCTAGAACAAAGACACTATAATTGCAAGTAAAAATAAACGGTATTTAATTATCTATTGTATGAATTCAGTAGGATCTTTCACTTGTGACACAATATAACGAACTTCGTAGATAATAGCTGTCACATAAGCATCAGTCAGCAGCACAAAAATAATTGGGTTTCAATTAAAAGTTTAGGTATTATCCGATTCGTAAATCATTTAGAGTTATTCATTTTAAATAACTTTACTAACAATTAAAATTTCATCTACATTTTTATTTTTGCAGTAGTGATTATATTTTAATATTTAAAAATTTTACTATTACCGAAAGTGCAATTCATTAACACAATGATAAAGTTTGAAAATATGGACTTTGTTTTTTTTTTAATAAATTTGCCTAATTTAAAAGACAAATTAAATTATAGTTAAAATAACCCACCTGCGTGAAAAAACAACTAACTAAAAAGCTGGATCTAGTTAATATATTTATGCAACATTATACATAACAATACCATAACAGCCATACGAGAACAAAGCAAAGTCAGCGATGTCACCAAAAGGATTGCGAAATTGAAATGGAAGTGGGCTGGACATGTCGCCCGTAAGCACGGCTCGTGGTGCAAGGCTGTGGTAGAGTGGAGACCATGGGTGAGAAGCGCCCACGAGGAAGACCGCAGATGCGTTGGCATGACGACATCAAAAGACTGGCGGGAACAAAATGGATGGAGACTGCTCAAGACGAAAAGATGGCAGAAACTGAGGGAGGCCTACACCTTAGCGGTTGAAAAAGGCTAGAAAGAGAGAGAGAGATACATAACATGTAGCCGGAGGCATGTAATTGAACAATAAGTGAAATCATTCCCTCTTTAGAAATAAAAAAAAAAAATGTTTTTAGATTGATATAATTTTAGAATTTCGTCACACATGCACAGAACAGGAATAGATTTATTTTTGCACGAAATTTCAACAGATATCCTTATTACAACGCCGGCCTTAATTGCCGCAGATATTTTGTCATAAAGAGATGTTAAAGACCTTCGCAATATAGGAAAAAATAGTTAATAATGTGAAAATTATATCAAAGGATTTAATCACTATACTAAAACATCGAAACAATGTGAGCTGTTAACCAAAACGTAATAAAATACAACTGACAAAGACTTGATGAATATGATACACAGAAACCCGATTATTATTAGATTTTCGCGAGGTTGTTTTTGACGAGGCTTTACTATAAACTGACATAAAACACGTTGCACAAAGTTCATATTGTCTTTTTCTGTCAATCGTGTCCACATTTTTATATATCCAGCTTTCCACCGGCGGCTTCGCCCGCGTGCTCTTGTATTAAACATAAAAACCTTTCTTTTGAATCACCCTATCTATGAAAAAAACGTAGTTTTAAAGATTTAAGCATACATAGGGATATACGGACAGAGAAAGCGTCTTTGTTTTATACTATGAAGTAATGATTGTAGATGAAATACCATATGAATATTATGAGAGTCTTCTATTGATTGGTGAGTTTGGTGAGTCACCCATAACATTGAGTCGGTATTATCATTACGAAGAGTTTAAACAATGGTATTTGCAATTTATCATTTGAATCTTAAAAGCGAACACTTAAAGTTCAGCTTTTGATTCTTAACACTATAAAATGCATTAAATATTAAAATTCATTTGTGCAGTCTTTTTTACTGAAACACTATTTAAAATAAAACTAAGCTTCCTTTAAGATACTTTACAAGAAACGACCTCGTAGTAACCCAAAATAAGCTTTATCTTATACGTACTAGGTCTGCATTTGAATTTGATGTCGACGAAGTTTTTCGTGCGCGGGCAGGGGTCTTTGACGCCTGGCCTCGGCTTCGTACTGAACTCGCAGTGCGGTTTCTTTTGACACGCTTCCACCACCGTTTGCAATAGGGAATACTGTTGAGAAAAATAAATTACATCAGTTATAATAAAATTTACCTTTAAAAACATTCTAAAAGTTAAGTATGTAATAATAATAAGTACAAATACATGACGACTATATTGACTGTGAAAACGTAAAGAATTTAAAATATTTTTATTTTAAATAAACTATATATTTACCGGCGCCCTTTTTTATAAAGTGCCAATAAAACTTAACTGAAGCAATAGTTTCAATTTTTTTTTTTTTTTTTTTTTTTTTTTTTTTTTATTTGGGATAACAACAGCTTTTATACTAAATATATTGTACATAGTGTCTTATATAAATCTAAGCCACTTATAGCTATCCACGATTACATTATATAGAGGTCGTTAGCAGCCAGGTGTTACTTAGAACTAATTAATTTATAAATAATACTGAAGATATGATAAGATCTACTGTTAGTGATATAAATTTTAATGTGACGTTTAACATCGTAACAATTCAGAAAAGCAATTAAACTGAGTTTTAATACAGTGAGCAATTGAACCACATAAAAAAGTAAGCAAACACTGAGCGAGTAGGTCACTTCATACACGTTATGCCGCGGAGAGAACATACAAGAAATAAGACATCTAAATGCTGGTGCTTAGGTGTGTATGTATTTTGTCTTTGAATGATTGCTTAGATTCAGTGAAAGGGTCGATTGCAGAAAAATTTTTGTTATATGAGTTGACAATACGGGTGAAAACGGCATTCTTACCGTAATTGGTAGTATGATGTGGTACGTGAAACAGTGGCGTGTGTCTGGTACGACGTGTCGGTGCACAAAGGGAGATATGATTTGTGAGGTCGGGACAATCAAAGCGACCACGCACTATATCAAATACCAAGCATGCGTCTAAAGCTCGGCGGCGTGCTTCGAGAGTGAGCAAGTGAAATGCTCGACAACTTGTAGTATAGCTTGTGGAGGGCTTGTGGCATTTAAAGCTTAGATATTTTATAAACTTCCTTTGAATCCTTACAATGCGGTGAATGTGGGTTTTGTAACATGGTGACCATATGGGACTTGCGTACTCCAATATGCTACGAACGTATGCATAGTAAACGACTAAGATGCTCAAAGAACTACTAAACTGTTTGCAGGTTCTCATAATGAACCCCAGATTTCTGTAAGCTTTATTAACCATCCTAGATACGTGATCGGTTCGAAGAAATTTTGTATCAAAGAAAACGCCGAGATCCCGCACGACATCGGTCGGCTCCAATACAACGTTATTGAAATGATAGGAGAAAGTAATAGGTTTCCTATTACGGGTGAAGCTGATGCACTGACATTTTTTAATACTTATTGTGATTCTGTTTACTGAGTAGTATTCAAAAAGTTTATTTAAGTCTGATTGTAGAAGCTCACAATCAGAAATTGAGCGAATGCGCATATACATTTTTTTTGTCGTCTGCATACATTATGTGGTTAGCGTTACTGAAGCAAGTATTTATGTCAAAAATATAAGCGTTGTAGAGGAGGGGGCCAAGATGCGAGCCTTGGGGAACCCCAGAGGGCACATCAATATAATCCGATCTGTAGCCTCCCAAGACGACCGCCTGGGACCGGTTGGTTAGATATGAGCGCACCCAGCGAAGCAAGTCTCCGTGTATACCTAGGAGTTCAAGCTTGTGGAGAAGAATGTTATGATCCACACGGTCGAAAGCTTTCTCGAAATCCGTGTAGATCACGTCAACTTGACCGCCGTCTTCCATATTATTAATCACGTAATCCGAAAACAAAGCCAGGTTAGACACAGTGGAGCGTCCCTTTAAAAAACCATGTTGTGTACTGGGTAAACCTTTCACTATGGTGTGATAAACGTCTGTGTAAACTATTTCCTCAAAGATTTTACTTTTGGAATTTAGAATTGAAATGGGTCGATAGTTTTCAATACATGAGCGTGAGCCTTTTTTGTGCAGAGGGATAATTTGTGCTCGTTTCTAAATCACTGGAAAGACGCATTCACTAAGAGATGTACGAAAAAGTATTAGTATTGGTGATGCTACTGTGTCCGCACATGATTGAAGAAAAATGGGAGGAATACTGTAGCTGCCGGGGCCTTTTGAGATGTCCAATGAGCGCAAGTGCTTATTCACAGTATCGTAATTTATGTTAATCTTAGAAAGTATTTCAAGGCTTGGGGGTGTATAGTCGAAAAGAGGATTATAAGTACCATTATTCGGTTTTATGAAAAAGCTCTCAAAAAATCGGTTAAAGGCAGAGCATATTTCATTTCCGTCGTTAACATAATCATCAACAAATTTTATATTTTTTGGAAAACTAGAGGTGTTTTTTTTTAGATTTTATATATTTCCAGAAGTGTTTAGGATTGCGTCGGATATGTTCCTCTGCGTTAAGCGTGAACTTAATGAAACATTGCGACTGAATTCGTTTTTCTCTGGCTCAAAGTAGAGAGAACTCGTCATAGTCCAATGAATTTTTAAAGCGTTTCCACTTCTTATGCATTTTAATTTTTTCACGATTAATCTTAATAAGCGCAGGAGTGTACCATGCAGGATAATTCTTTAAGTTAGGAAACCTACTAAGAGGTACGTATAACGTGACACATTCCTGTAGAACAGTGTAAAAAGTGTTAAGAGCGCTATCCATTGGTTTAGTCTGTAGTAATTTCGTCCAGTCCTTATTTAAAAAAAATGTATTTATCTTGTTGTAGTCGCACTTATGAAAATTATACCGTGGAGAATAACCTCTTTCAGAGGCGAGATATGTAGATCAAGAACTACTATGATTAGGGAGGGGTGGTGTGCGTCTTCCTTAACTATAGGGGTAGGCACACGTTGTAATAGCTAATGGAAGGTTCGAGAAGCAAAGATCAAGTATATTGCCTTTTGAGTTATGTGTGTAGTTGTACTGTGATAGTCCGAAGAAACTTAGATCATCCAAGAAACTCGATACCTCATCGAATGAAACATTAGAGTGATTATGCGAGCGACTGTAACTATCGTTATTCCAGGCTATGCAAGAAAAATTAAAATCTCCAATTAAAAGAAATTTATCGGAAGGGTGAAGCGATGTGATGAGATGTAAATCACGCCTCAGGTCTTCCACACGTTCAAGGAAATTATTTCTTTCAGGAGGTATGTATACGAGGATAACATGAAGATCAAATGAGGCGCGCAAGGCGCGGGCAGGCACAGTAACGCATAAAGTTTCCGTGAGATCGTTTCGTAACCACTGAGTCCTATGAATCACATTGATGTCCCTTTTCGAACATATCATCACGCCACCTCCCGTTTTTTTTTGTGTTACCCGTAGGTTACGGTCGCATCTAAAGACATCATAACGTGGGTCACAAAATTCCGAATTCAGAACGTCCCCCTGCAGCCAGGTTTCCGTAAATAAAAGAAGATCATATTCATTATTTAAAATATTGTGCGCTAATTCGATACATTTAGTGCGCAAGCCGCGAGAATTTTGATAGTAAACGTTTAGATTATTAAAAAAAAGTTTATTAGTAGCCATTGGGTATTAATAAAGAATAATTGTTATACGTTGCAATTTGAAGTAACAATGTTATTAAATTGTGAGCGAAACGCCATACAATTGTATAAATGAACGAAGAAAACCTGTTGCAGCGGGCGCAGTCTGATATTATGCATAAGAGGGGCCCAGATGAACTATATATACGTATAGTTTGAAGTCGACGGAAACAAGCCTGTGAAAAGAACTGTGATAATGACACAGATGCATCGTGTATTGAGATAGGTATGATATTAATAATAAGTGTGGTGAATAGGCATACTAGACACAGACATATAGTCTGTGACGAATAGCCATTACTGATGTCAATGTCAAGTGATAAAATGTAACGATGATATCTTATATAGGAATTCAGTGGGGCAATAAACAGACGCATGTAGAATAATAATTTATATGCAATTATGTATTGTTTTCCGGTAGTTGTTTGCTTCGATTTGTCTCGAAATACAATAATTAGAGAGTGCATGGTCATAATTGAATAGTGATGAGTACCCATATAATAATTATGAGGAGTAAAATAAATAAATGTTTTAGATCTACCTACCAAAAAGTCACGGCAATTGATTGGAAGTGATAATAATAATTTGTAATTTAAGTTTATGGTCCTGATTGAGTTAGATGCTTTACGATTTATTTGTTGATAAGATAAGCAAAAGACAAAGTACATATAATATACATAACGAATATATATTTCAAAACTTAAGATTAAATGAAATTTTTTACCTGTGGTTATATTAGTAGAATTATGGGTATACAAATATAGACATATTTTGACAAAACTGCTATAAGGCGTCAAAGACGTCACAAAAAATAAAGCAAATAGAAAAAGTCACTTAATTTTACAAAGATCACTAAGGTCCTTAATTATGAATGAAGGTGAGGTATCATTTTTACGAATGTAAATTTTACAGTTGCGAATCCAAACATATTTGAAGTTAGCGACTACAGCTGCTTCTCTGGCTTTTTTATGGAGTTGTTTATAGTGAGGTATTAGATGTTCACATACGAATATTTTGCGTGGGTCGCCTGCGATACCGATGTCGGCTGTTGTGATGCCTTTCCTTTTTCTGATACCTGAGAGGATGATATCCTTTAATTGAAGTGACTTGAACTTTGCGACAATATTCTTTGGTTTATTAGGTACACGGGTCGGAACACGGTGTGCATGTATCAAGTCGTCCTCAGAGACTTTTAACCCGACACAGTTCGCGATAGAGATTAGATATCGAGCTACATTCTCTCCAGTATGTTCTGGAATGTCACAGATCTCCAGGTTGTGAATGCGTTCACGTTGTTCTGTTATGTGTTGTTCATTTTGTAATCGTTCAATTGTGCTTTTACATTCAGCGAGGTCGTGTTGCATATAAAGCAGGTGTCTGATGTCCGATGACATCTTGCCGAAGGTGATCTTTAAGTCATCCTGTTCCTTTGAATGAAATTCCATAGAAGCGGACAGTGTATCCAATTCCGTCTTGATGATATTATGTTCAACTATAATGGAATCCGTGATGGTCTTTATGGAGCAGACTTGATTTTTTATTTCGGAGACATTATCTCTAATACGGTTCATGTCCTCGTCATGAGATTTTCTAAACTCACGAAGAAATCCCATCATTTCGTTACGAAAATCCATGAGTTCATGTCTTAGTTCAGTGTCTGAATCAGGTAGTTTGCGTTTGTTTTTACGCGTGTTAATCAATGTGTCCAATGTCAGCGGGGACGAGTCGCACTTAGAGAGGTCGGTTAAGGAACCAGTGTAGCTTGAGCCGCAGATTTCTTTACCTGGGGAGCGCACGACGTTCATCTTACGTTGGTTAATAGCGCGCGTGAATGAGAAGAAAAAAGAAAGGAAACGGCTATTTGTCCCTTTCGCCTCACAGTTCTAGGTATGTGGAGAACACAGATCACACTCGCAAATGATGGAAACTGAATTCACTGTATATGGAATATGGGCTGTTATAGATTGCACAGATTTATAATAATATTTAAAATTGATGATAAACAACAAACGCACGTCTGCTTGCGACGACCGCGAAAGGCGGAAAAAGATATAGAAACATGTTTATAGAAACATGTCCATTAATTGCGCTTGAGATAGATCTTAAAATTAGGTAATTAGGCCAATGATTTATGGCTTGATCTCTAAACTTTCCTTTTGATTTCACTATTGTATATTGATGAAATTTTCTTTTATATCCATTGTGTAATTTAAAAGACCGAGCACAGACAGCGGGAAGCGACTTCGTGTTACACCTTATATATGATTACTATAGTTAGACTATATCTCTGATAGATGACGCTTTTGAATTTTTTTGGAGGAAGAAGATCTTGAGGTTGTTAAACAGTGGCTCGTCAAAGAACGGGAGGTCAATAAATTGATCAACTCGAACGCCTCCGTGTGGCAGGCACGTTAAGCCGTTGCTCGAGGCTGCATCTGTTGTTGCTAACACCCACCAATCCGCACTGAGCCAGCGCGTTGGGCGGTGGCGGTCTCATTCTCCCTATTCGATTAGATTTCATCCACAGCGAAGGCCTAAACCAAAGTCGGTGGGGAAATTGATGATGATGATGAATGAATACGGGTTTTCAAAGATCACGATAAAATAGCATAAATAGTTAAATAGAATTTCACATTAATCAATTAATTAAGAGAATACTATAAGTGTGCAAATCAATTTTTATAAACATTATACTACATTAACTGTTTTTTTCAATAATTTCACCAGAAATTCATCATCATCAACAGCCCTTTTACGTCCCCACTGCAGGGGCTCAGGCCTTCCTTATAGATGGTTAAGAAGGATGGGCCAAGAACCTCCACGCTGGACCAATGCGGATTGGAGGGTATTAACGACTGCAAATGCAGCCGGGACCAACAGCTTAACGTGCCTTCCGAAGCACGGAGTAGCTCGAGATAATAATTTTTTGGTCACCCATCCCGTGACCGACCCTAGCGAAAGTTGCTTAATGACAAGCGGCGCTTATCCACTACGCCACCGAGCTATCACAAAAAGAAGTCAATGTCCAGCATTTTAACCTGATAACGAATGTACGTTTCAATTTAGATGATCCTTATTGATCCCCGATGAAAGAAATATTTTAATCCCTCGGCTGTTGGCAATTAATTACTTTCCTAATTAATCAATAGTCTTCATTAATAAATATCTTCCGTTAATTACAATATGGCTTCGTTTTTATCAATAACACCAAATTAATTATTATAAAGTGAAAACATATAAGCGTTTGCGATGAAAGTTAATCAACTTTCACATAGACTAGTCATAGGATGGGGGGAGCAAAAATTTACTATCTGAAGTTTGTCCCTGCTTCAGAAGTACTTTGGTCCTGGCTGCGTCTGCAATCTTTAAAATCCAACAAACCGTACAGGGCCCGCGTGGGTTATGTCTAATTATCCTTATTCGATTCAATACCATCCCTAAAAAGATCTGTGTCTTGAAATGGGCACAGTAATAATTTAATGGTGATTGTTTGATGAAAAAATTTATTATAAAATATTTTTTTTTAATTTTTCGAGTTTAAATATTACATTTGTTTACGTATTACGTGATAACAACTATACTTATTATACACAATTTAGCTGCCAATACCTTTGATTATATTTGACAATAATGAACTAACCATCAGCGAGATCATCAATCTAATAAGTATCACTACAACAGCAACACAGGTATTTTCTATTGAAAGAATAAAATAGAAAAAAGAGCGCACACGCGCGTGCGGGTATCAAATTCAAAAAAATCAAAATTATTTATTCAGTCTAGGCTGTTACAAGCACTCGTGAAAGTCGAGAGCTAAGCTTCACCGATATTTATAGACGTAAAGGTCGTATTAACTTTCAACCGTTACATGTTTTCAACTTTTCCGGAGCTCATTTTCACAAACTTCTGGATCTGCCGAGTCGTCCCGTTTCACGATTGCGCACTCTGAGCAGTTAAGTCTCAGTTATAGAGTTTATTGTGAAAAGACATACATGTCACTTATAATGGGAACTTAATGTAATACTCGTACATTATTTTTTGACGTGGACAATATAACCGCATGAAAAACGAAAAAAAGAAAGATGATCACCGTCGGCACCTTTACTTTAAAATTAAGTTTTGGACATTTAAATTTTGTTTTCGTAGTCTAGACTTGAAAGCACCGAATCTAATTTTTGAACAAGCATCTTGTGTGTTACTATTTTTCATACTTTCCATTATCACACTGGGTATTAAGTTTTATAACGAGTATTCAAAAGCTAATGCACATTTTTGTCACGACCTCTTAAATATTACCTGCATGGTGTTTGGCCATAAGCAGCTCTCGTCTTCAACAACCTCAACAGCACTTGAGCCTAGCGATGCACAAATATGGCCGTCCTTCCCAGCCTTCCCATACTGTGCCACTTGAATGCTGATCGTGGTAGCTGTAGGACATGCGAGTGACACTTCATCTTCATCACAAGAAGCACGCTGCATCATTTTCAAAGTTCCCAGAAGAAGCGCTGAAACAAAATATTGAAGTTAATCAATTTGTTGCGTTAAGAGTTTTTTATAATATTACTGGTAAATCTACAATTGATAATGTTTTGTTAGACTGGTGATGTCTTCCTAAAATAAAATATGTTTGTTTTTTCTTCTTTCATGTCATAACGGTGCTGGCACGTCGTCATTATATAGTTTTGTGGAGAGATAATTGGAAGGCTAAATAAAGAATAACACGAGTTACGTTGCGACACAACAGGTGACATCTAGGTTCAAATTTATTTCAAAATTATTTGTATTTATGATAACGTATTTATAACAACATAAATTTTTGAATGTTTTGTTATTGTTTTTAAATCGTCATCATCATCAGACCTTTTTATCACCACTGCAGGTGACGTAAAAGGGCTCAGGTCTTCCTTATGGATGGTTAAGGAGGATGGGCCATGACTCTCCACGCTGGCCCAATGCGAATTGAAGGGTATTAACGACTGCAAATGCAGCCGGGACCAACGGGTTAAGGTGCCTTCCGAAGCACGGAGTAGCTCAAGATAATAATTTTTTGGTCACCCATCCCGTGACCGACCCTTGCGAAAGTTGCTTAACGACAACGATAGCGGGCCGCGGCGCTTATCCACTACGCCACCGAGCTACTCGGTGAGGGGAGGGTCTTAAATATTGTGGTGTAATTCTTCATTTATGTCGCTAATTCGTTTTGAGAAAAAATATATCAGAAAATGAACTAATTGAAAGGGTCTTGGCTAAAAAGGTAAATAAAAACTGTGTCGACATTGATCATGAGTTGGACTTAAGATACTTTATGTAACTAAAATAACAAGATATAAAATATCCGAATTATACAAAAGAATAATCGTAATTAAAATTTTCAGAAGATAATTTTATCCAATTAGGTTGAGTTGAGATTGAATTACATTAGTTCAAGTATATTGACTTACGTGAAATGTATTAAAATTGCATTTCACTGTCGGTCTCCAGACAAAGCCCTTATGCATACAGAAATCTAAATAGATACCATAAACTTCGTAATAGGAATCTAACTCTTATTGGAAGTGAATAAGGCATAGAATTTAGTGCTACCATTTATATGCACTCAAACTGTAAAGCTAAAATAATTAATGTAGATAGATCCAAAGGAGAATACTTGAAAACATTCAGTAGCTAAAAGACGCTCATTGGGATTCTAAGATTTACCTTAAATCAAGCTAAAAAGAGTTTTCCTAAAAGTATTTTTTAATAATTTAATAACACACCTATTTTAATCTGTACACTTCATTTATACCTATAATAAAAAGTAATTACATTTATCTGGAAAATTAGAAAAGTCGTCGAAGGGTTTACGTAAAATATTATAAAATATTATATTTTCATTTAAATTGTGTTCTTCACAAGTTTTACAAATTCTATTTGTACCACTGCCTGATCCTCGATTGAACTTAAATGACAATGCAAGATTATTATGAAATGGAGCTATATGAAATGCTCTGAATTGATAATGGAACCGGAAGGTGGTTATTGAAAATCTATATTTATAAACTATAAGAACCGCGACCTGCGATTGCTGTTGTTAAGCAACATTCGCAAAGCTCGGCCACGAAATTATTTACCAAATATTAATATCTCTAGCAACTATGTACTGCATTGATCTCAGATGCATTTGCAGTAATTAATAAAAAAAAAAACAATATTTATAAATCTTTACAAATACTAATACAATTTATATATTTTAAAATTTACAGAGGTATTTGAACTAAAAGGGCAGGTATGTAGGAGTAACGGAGAATCACGTTTGCATATTCAATGTCATAAGATGATATACCGTTCCTTTGTCACGATAAATGTATCGATCTACACTATCACTTTAATTCATATTATAACAGTTCAGAACAAAGGGTACTCAGGTTGTGTATCGATAACTCGGCCAAACAATTATTCTATACTATTGTAGATAGTTATAACCAGAGAATACTGAGGGTATTCGAACGACGCTGCCTCAACCACCTGCCTAGGCTCTTTGATACGTACACCGCTACTGCCGTATCATCCACTGTTTTTATACAAACCATAACACCAAATTATGCGTAAGAAATTTTTTGTTAAAATATATCAACAATTTTACTAAAACTTTGTTATCTTTGTCGATCTCTTGTTAATTCAGAACTGTAACAAGCATTAAGTGTAAAAGCAGCGCGCCGCCGTAAGGACAGAGTACAAAGAGTAAGTAAGTCATACATACGCACCGAAATTGGTTTGTATGTGAACACGCCCGTGCGAACGATTTACGTTTTCAATGAGTTACATATACCCGATGATGAGTGTCTGCCGTATCTAATCGGTCGCTCCGGTCGGAAATTCGTTGCCCCTTAAGGGCACGCAACCAACTGTCCAAGGCGGTGTTTAGTCAGTAAATGTCTACCATGACCTCACAGCCGGCTGTAAGGTATTCAGTAAAAGACTCATCGCCGTCTCCCCCTTTGGAAAGGTGGTTCCGAACCCCGTAAGGTTGAGAGCCGGAAAAAAATACGAGTTAACTTCAGTAGTCAGCTAGCGACCAAACTGGAGTGTCCAATAGTGGAGTGTCATGCAGTTCTCCAATATTGGTCAGTTGGGAGAAAGAGTGTGATACCCCGCAGTCCGCTCTGAATTCTAAGTTTAGAGTTAAAATACTTATAGCCTAGGAGTCGATACCCACGCAGTCCACTCCGGAGCTGTTAGGAAATAGTATAAGTACCATCTACTCATATATGTATATACTTGCCTGTTACTACGCATCTATAAAAATTTGGAAATTGTATAATTACTCTGACAATAAAATAACGGACGCCGATTAAATCGGCGGCATTTCATTCACTCTCCATTCAGAACTTTAATACATAAGCATTAATCACAATACATCACTGAATAGTAAAGAGATTTAATAAACGCGACAATCACAGTAAAACCCAACTTAAATGGCATGTCGTAGGTGTTTATTTAGGCAAACCTGCCATTGCCGAGAATGAATAAAATATATAAACTTGTTTTCATATCAATAAGGTATAAAATACTACGCAGCTACTTTCCGTGTCAGTCACAGCCGGCAGACCTATGTTATCTGTGTACCGAACTCGTGTTACATTGAATCATGATAGGCGAATATTTAGCACTTGAAATGTAGTCTTTTACGATCGGTGAGCTAATTAAATAACGATTTAGGACCAACTCAATGTCAATGTTAACAAAAATTGAATTAATCATGGACAACATCACGTCAGAATAGAAAGAACGGACCATATTCCACCACACCGGTGAAGTTTGGCGGTTAACAATTGCAAATGCAGCCGCTTCCAAAAAGCTTGGCTGCCTTTCGAAGCACGGAGAAGCTTGAGATGGTAAATACTTGGTCACCCATCCTATGACCTTTACGAAAGTTGTTTAATTTTTCCATCGCAAACCGACCACGCTTACTACCGCAACAACGAGCTAAATAGAAAATAATGTAACGTATTCAATATGTACGTACCATATTACTTTAAAAAAATGGTGTATTTAAATGAGAAGAGTTGACATACGAACACTTTTTATCTATAGTAGTCTAAAGCTACATAAAAACAGTAAGCAAAATGTCTAAGTATATTTTTAATGTATGCATTAAAATTCTCATGCAAAGCCTCTCTAAGCCGATTGAATAAATGGACCGTTAAGGCGTCACGTGATAACCGACAATGGATAGCCAAGCTTATTTGACCTTTGATACATATTTAAATAAACCCGGCGATTTATTACATCATAAATAACGTATATCTTTATAAATCACTAATGGAACTAGAATGTCAAGTCGTGTCAAGTTATTGTATCTATAATTGTATTCTACCTAATAATATTAGGTTTGTACCTATGAAATTGCCGTATTTCATGAAATGAATGAAGCGTATTTTTTTCTATATTTTTTTATTTCTATTTTTTTATCTCACCCATGCAATCAATGCATCTTTGCCAACGTATTGGTTGTTCATTGATGCCCTTCTTGAAGAAATCAGCTGGACAGGTCACAAATTCTCCAAAGACATTTTATACTACCTCTCGGGTATTCAATTTTTTTCAACCCAATAAGTTATCCAAATTCTAGATAAAGTAGAAGTCTGTAGGCGCAAGGTCTGGTGAGTAAGGTGGATTACAAAGAACTTCCAACCCCAGATCTTGTAGTTTGGAGACCGTCTGCTGTGTAGTATAAGGTCGCGCGTTGTCGTGCAGAAGCAGTGGAACTGAATGATTGACCAAAGCTGGTTGGAGACGTACGAGCTTCTCCCTCATTGCACTCAGTTCTTCACAGTACACATCTGACTAATGCTCGTCCCATTTGGTAAGAAGCTGCGATGAATCACACCATTACATATTTCTCCATTTCGTAATAATATTGCATTATTATTTAAGTTCAATCGAAAACTAGGCAGTGGTTCAAATAGAACTTGCAAAATTTGTGAAGAACACAATTTAATTGATAATACAATATTTTACGTAAATCCATCGACGACTAATCTAATTTTCCAGATAAACGAAAGTACTTTTTATTATAGGTATAACTGAAGTGTAGACATTTATACCTATAGTATAGGTGGCGTTAGACCACCAAACAGAGAGCATCACTTTTCTAGGGGTAAGTTTTTATTTAAGGCATGGTTTGGGTGCTGAACCAGGGTCTAACCAACTTGCTGAGCACTTACGATTGTCGAACAGGATTTCTCGTCACAAGTAACAATGTGGTCCAGGATTCCTTCATTTGTATGTCCGTGAAGCAGTGCAAGGCACATCTCGACGCGTACTCCGCGCTGGCGATCATGGAGTTCGTGAGGTACCCATTTGTCTTGCCAATTTGATGCAAATGGACCAATATTGTTTTGATTCTAACTTTGAAAGCTGCTGCTATTTCAGCCGTTGATTGAGTTTCATCAGTTTCCACAATCGCCTTTAATTCGTCATTATCGACTAAAGTTTTCGGACGACCTCGGGGCTCATGTTTCAG